TCACAATGTTATATGTCGGTATGTCATCTAAAACATAGCTTCATTTTAAACATTAATGTGTCAAACCAAAAATGATCATAAAAGAGAATCCAGAGAAGAACAAACATCATGTTTCTTACGGTCTTAGTGTTTTGGAGTTTCAAAATTTAAATTTATTGACATGTGAAGTAATTGATCTATGGAGGAATTGTTCATATACGCTTAAGATTTAAGGATAAAACTAATGCTCTTTTGTAGAATCCGTACAACCTTACCTAACACACTAATGTATTGATTGGTTTGTCACCAATTAATGATTTTTTATATGAACATAACAATTGGTTTTCCTTTAACCTACTTTTAGGTAGATTATAATAAGGTGTTCGACACAAATTTAAATATCTTATACTACTACTTTTAGGTAGATTATAATAAGGTGTTCGACAAAAATTTAAATATCTTACATTACTTGTAACATAAATTTGTATGAGAAATGGATTATATGGGACAATGAAGAGTTCAAAATGATGCAAACTTCATTATTTTGTAGCAAACAATTTGTTATAGATACTTTGATCCTTAGTTTTAGGAAACTTGATGACGTTTATTCCTATTTATAATTTGAACCAAGAATTTTGTAGATTTTTAGTGAAAGAGTAAAAGAGTTGAAGTAAAAAAATTAGGATTTTTTTATAAACTAGACCAAAATAATTGAAAATTTTTTTTTTAGAGGTAACCAGGTAAAATTTATTGATAAAAAAATGGTTGATTTGAATTGTTTACCCAATAATCGAGACTCTGTTAACAAAATAAAATTTAAGTTTTTTTTATAAACTGAACTAAAATATTTAAACTTTTCAAAAGATTTTCCATTTTAAACTCCGACTATTTATATGGCAAGATATATTCCAAAATCGTCATTCTAATTAAAAAGAGGGTTTTAAACGTAAAATACGACAGGGTTTTAGGGGTAATAAAGACGAGCACCATTCACAAACGAAAACTAGGGTTTATAGATACACATACACCGGAAATAGCAAAAGATAGACATAAATGGATTCATTCTCGTCGCCGTCGAGTTCATCCCCGTCATCTCAGATGTCTACCGAAGACTTTATGGATCAGCTTAAGGTTCAACTTGCTCAGGCCTACGCCGAGGAATTCCTTGAGGTATTTCCATATCTATCAATCTCATTATATGTGTATGATTTACATTGAGATACAGCAGTGATTTTTTTTTTGTGGAATGAGTGTTGATTCATACGCTATAGTGGATGAGTTTACATTCATATTTGTTGCGCTTGTTATTTCCAAAAAAGTGCTCAATTTGGGAGATTTTAAACATAGATCTGTGTTGTCAATCCTCACGCTCTCTTAATTTAAATATGGTGCGATCTAGGATTGAAAATCCATGGAGACTCATGTATAACTTGCTTAGATGTATTGTTTTATACGAAATCTTAAGAATCAAAGAATAGCCCAAAACCTTTTAGATGTGATTAATCATATGAACTATTAATTGGATGAAACATCCAATTTCTCCCAAGGATCAAAACCTACAAACAGAAAATCGTATAGCTTAAATTGGTTTGGAGTATGATTAGGCGATTCACTAGCTTTCTTACTTAGTAGTGTTCAATTAAAATTTAAAATGAATCAATCAGAATCAGCTTCCAGTCATAGGGCAATAGGTAATATATTTTTCATTAAAACCATTATGCCTATTGTCTAGTAGAGGTGTTAAGCAGTCAAGAAAATGTATGCATGAACTACTACTATTGGTACTACAACATTATTGTCTCTCTTATGCATCTCATACCAAGCTACTCAAGCTTTTTGAAAATCATTTGCTTCTGAAGACATTGTTTTGCCATGTGTTTTGGATCAGAGTTTGTTTGGCCCTTATGATATGATTAAAATTTTAATTACTTCATTTGGTATCCAGAGTTTTTCATGAGTAAATCAAGGTTTTTTAAGTTTATAAGATAGCTCAGAATTTTGACATTTGATGATTTTTTGTTTGGGTAACAGACTGTTCGGGGGAAGTGCTTTGACAAGTGTATCACAAAACCAGGCAGCAGTTTGAGTGGGGGAGAAAGCAGCTGCATTTCAAGGTGTGTGGATCGCTATATAGAGGCCACTGGAATCATCAGCAGAGCCCTTTTTAATTCACAACGCTAAAACAACCATTTTTAAACACAAAATTTATGTTTCTTAGTAGGAAAGTGATTGATGATGATATATTATGCACTATGTTTTTTGATTCAACTAAGTTTTTTATTTATGTATTTGGTCATAAAGTGCATGTTGAGGCTTTAACTACCATATTATGAATGGATGATTTTTCATATACTTTTTGCTTGTTCTTATTATAGCCTTTTATAGAATCAAAATGGTTGTTGCTTTAATGACCTTAAGTTTTCCTATACTTTTTGCTTCTTCTTATAGCCTTTTATATTGTTTCTTGAGAATGAAAAGGAATTTGTATTCTTCTCCAATTTTTAACTTGGAAAGATAACAGGATTGAGATAATTGAGAAATGTCCAAGTGGAAAAAGGAGGAAGAATATCAAGAGATTGAATAAATTCACATAAAAAACAGAATTTTTAACTGTTGGATCTAGATACCCAACATCCAAAATTGATTTTTTTTATCTTAAAAAATAAAACTTGGTTAAGTAGACCAAGATGAATCTTTGAGGGTTGTTCTTCTTCTTTTTCCTTGTAATGTAATGACAAGGCCATGAGTTTTGGCATATGTACAACACAAAACCCATAAAACCCCACACGTGAAATTTCAAACCCCTTCAGGCGAAAGAATGCACATCTGTTCTTTTTGGCAAGATTGTAATAGCAAGGTTTTATAATGAGTTTGTGAGTTTCACAAATAGGTTTTATAATGAGTTTGTGAAGCTTGAAGGTACATAGAATCGAATGAATAATGGGGAAAAGAAGCATGTGTTGTCGAACGAAATGTAAAAAATTAGTGTGAATTTTGGATGAACCAAGAAAAGACCAAAATGTTATGAATCCAACATCATATGCTTTTCTTATTCATCTGGAATTGAGGTCGAAGCTTTGTGTCAGCACCCCAAGAGAGAGATACACATACAAATATGGTTTTTAAGAATTGGGATGGGGTTGCATAGATGCCAAGTCCGACTAAGAAGATGATTGGATAATATACCATGTGGTTGAAGTTCTAACATTCTTGATGAAGGTTGAAGTAACAAAAGCGGTGAAGGAAAAAGAAAAGGAAAACCCGAATTAGTAGGGTTGCAGAGTTGCAAGATATGTGGAAGACTCATTGTAGATGTCAATTTGGTCCTAAAACTGATTGGACGGTAAAATAATACATGTTAAAATCGGTAATATTGACTTTAAGGAGCTATGATGTGCAAGCAAAACGGTAGTAACCAATGATATACATATGATATATTTGATTATTCATATAGACATAACAACCATAACTTCATAAGATATAGACATTGTATGGTCCTGGTTTATAGCATGACATGCAATTTTCTTGAGAAGTTTAATAAATCTAACAAGACATATTTTTTCGAAATTCGTGTCCTAACATGCATTGGCCAATCCATATGGAAAGTCTATTGTTTATGGAAGGTTTATTGTTTGAGTCTTTAAAGTTTCAATTTTAAGAGTTGGCTAATGGCTAGGAGCGTTATGCCAAGGAACCCATAAGAGATAATAATAGTTCATAATTGAATTAAGATATATGAATTACTTTTTTTTAACATAATTTTCTTAAAGCAAATTTGTACGTTATCAGGTTTGTTTCTCAACATATAACAACGTCAAGTGGTTTTTTGAAATCATCCAAGCCTATATTAGGCTTGAAATTTACCTTGAAGAATGTGATGCAACTGCAAATCAAAATGATTTCTGTAATTTATTAATTGTGATTCAACCATACAAACTTTCTTGTAGACTTAACTTCTTTGAGAAAATCTAAGGCCATCCGGTACGAAGACTTTTTCACGCGTAGCTATCCTATGTGGATCCTAAGTGGAGGGGATTTCCACTAGTGAACACCACCCCAAAACCTAGTTGTCTTCACGGGCAATCACGGAGGTGTTTTGGATTGATTGTGTCTATCTCTTTTGTTCACTATATGTTCATTGGTACCCCCCCCCCCCTAAAAAAAAGGAATGACGAAAGCAATGACGTATTAAAGACATTATTGAAGACACACGTCCTTTCATTGTGGAAGGAATTGTAAATATTTGTCATTATAATTATTTGTCATTTGTCTTTGTATGATTATTATTGTCGGTAGAAAATGTGATATAAAGTAGTGTCTAAGATATGAAATAAAGTGTGTAACCCTCAATAGTCTAGGGGGCTATATTGTAAATATGTATGTCGTATTGCAATCAAACAATTGCAACTCAATTATGTAACCGGCTCTCTTGAGCCTATAAATAGGGCCTTAAGCCCGAATGAAATAAACAAGTTAAGTTTAAGTGTCTAAGACTTGAGTTGATCTCAAAGTTCTTCCTCTGTTGAACTAGTCGTTCTATTTCTGAATAGCATAGCTCTATCCAAATATACCCAAGATTATTCATATAATCATTCATATATTTTAAACAATCCATCGTCAATCCATCCCGACGCATCATTCATGTATAATCCTATCTTAATTTTTTATTAATTCCGTCATGTCTTTAATTTTGCATTGTAATTATTTGTCATTATAATTATTTGTCATTTGTCTTTGTATGATTATTATTGTCGGTAGAAAATGTGATATAAAAATATAAAATAGTATCTAGGATATGAAATAAAGTGTGTAACCCTTAATAGTTTAGGGGGCTATATTGTAAATATGTATGTTGTATTGATTCTCTCCCAAATTAAAATTTTCGTTCCTCGGAAAAGAAAGTGTAAATCCATGAAAAGAAAGGGAACTAAAGAAGCATTAACCAAAAATGGTACTAATTTTCAGTTTGCACCCTTGTAAGCTTGAGGGTAGACATAACGTGTCGTCATTGTAAGGCATGGCTTGGCTTGCAAATCTTCATCGTGAATTCTTAATTAGAAAAACGCGGCCATAAGTGAGTCGGAGGAGGAGAGAAGGAGACATGGCCTTAACCTTAAGCAGAGCAATATTTTTGTATGAGAGAGAGCGAGAACGAGAACGAGAACGAAAACGAGAGGGAAGAGGGTCGCTTCTAAAACCTACAACAGAGTGAACGTCTCCTGTCTACTCTTATGGGTGATCATATAACTGTGAGTTTGATGAGAGATGCAGAAACCCATCACCCCCACAAATGTCAATTTACACACCAATAATTATCTTTTATTCCAAGAGGAACAACACGACCAGAGCTTTTTCAAGCTCTCTTTGCCTTTAATGATCTCATTTTGGTTACCTTTTCTGCTTGTCCTCTCTACATTCGGCTTCAATCATGGCAACGAAGGTCTTATTCTTCCCTTTTTCCGTTTTCCACTATTCATTTCTGTCTCATACTGCTTAATATTATGAATTTGAAATACCCATTTCTTAATTTGGAACTTACGTCGCATTTTAAGAACCCCGGTAGCCCTAATTTTACCGTATCTTTTAGCCCTGTACGTATCCGTGCCTGATATTGCTTCATCGTGTGAATTCTGAGATTCCCATTTGTTAAATTCAGCTTAGTTTATTTACCCAATTTGATATTGGCGTCGTTTTATTTCATTTTCAAATTGTTCTTCTTCTAGGGTTTTCAATGAATAATCTTAATGTTGTTTATTCACCATTTCCAGGGAATGTAGATGCATATAATAGGAACTTCACTAATACTACTACTACTACTACACATCCGTATATGAAAGAACAAGATCAAAATCATACAGATAGGGTGCTTTTAGAGTTCAATGTATCCGATTCTGGTGCTGCTTCTCATGATCATAATAGCTCTGTAGATACCGAAAAGAACCATGTTCAGGGAACAAGTCCTGTTGAAGAAGTAGTTTCAAAAGTTTTAGGTTACTCTGCATTAGTTTGTGAGAGAGAACTTCAAGATAGTTACATGGAAAAGAAACAAGAAGACATCCAAAACGGAAGGGCCCATCTCACATATCTTGATCTTGATGAGTTTAGAAACAGCACACAGCAAGATATTGGTTTAAATGGTGCACCAAGTGGGTTAGTCAACATAACCCATAGGCTCGAGCCAGATGGAACCGATTACAACTATGCATCTGCATCCAAGGGTGCAAAAGTTTTAGCACACAATAAAGAAGCAAATGGAGCAAGCAACATCTTGGGTTTAGATCATGACAAATATCTAAGAAACCCGTGTTCTGTTTTGGAGAAATATGTTATCATTGAGCTTTCAGAAGAGACTCTTGTTGATGCTGTAAAGATTGCAAATTTTGAACACCATTCTTCTAATTTCAAACACTTTTCATTATCAGGAAGCTTGGTTTTCCCATCTGAAATATGGTATCATCTTGGAGATTTTGTTGCTGAAAACGTTAAACATGACCAATATTTTAAGTTGCCTGAACCCAAATGGGCTAGATACTTGAATTTGACTTTAATTAGTCATTATGGGTCAGAATTTTATTGTACACTAAATGTAATTGAAGTATATGGGGTAGATGCAATCGAAAAGATGCTTGAAGATCTTATTGTGACTTCAGAAGAATCAACAAATCTTAATTCAACTGCATCCCCTGCATCACCACAATCTACAGGTCCCAAAAAGGGAAATATTATCGATGGTGAAAAGGGAAACACTGAGGCTACTAGTAAAAAGATGGAAGGTGTTGATGATGGAAAAAGGGTTGATGATGATGTGGCAAAGAAATCCCTGAGTGTGACTAAAATACCTGAACTTGTAGCAAAAGGTAATGGAAGAATACATGGTGATGCTGTTTTAAAGATTTTGATGCAAAAGGTGAGACTACTTGAAAAGAACTTATCTTTATTGGAGGATTACATTAAAGAACTGAACAAGAGACATGGGGATGTTCTTCCTCATCTTGATGTTGAGCTTGTCAAGTATTCAACACTTGTGGAGAAAACAAGAGCAGAAATCAAGGAGCTTTTGTTATGGAAGGCGACTATGGTACATTGTGTTGTTTTAATTTTTTTCAAAGTTTTTAAAGTGATGAACTTTATTATAAAAACTTGTATTTATACTTATCAGGAAAAGGAAATTGCTGACCTGGAGTCGTGGAAGGCTTTTGTGTCATCCCATCTGGAGTCTATTGTGAAAGAAAACGCCATGCTCAGGTTAAAAAAGATAAGTTTTTTTTGTCTTTTTTTTGTAGTAAAAAAAAAAATGATTTACTGTTTCCAGGCAAGCTATTGCAAAGGTTGCTGGTGATCAAGAAAGTCTGGACAAGGCTGAGCTGACTGTGTTGAGTGTGAGTGTTTCTTTTGTTGTTGCTGCCATCTTGAAGATTGTTTCAGACAGACTCTGTAATAATTCCTCTGGACATTTCAAAACACAAAGGGAGGATAGAAGTTGGAAATTGTTGGTTGTTACGTGTGTTGTCACTGGGGTCATTGTTTTTAACCTGTATTGACCAAGATTAATGTACTATTATTCCACATCAAGAATAGAAATGTTACATTTTAGAACAAGTATTGTATTGTATTGTTGTAGTTCTTTTAGAGTTTATGTTTCTGGCTTTTTGGTTTCAGAAAGAGCTGAAATTAACCCTTCCCTTGAAAAAGATTACAAACAAAGTGAGTGGGATTTTGAACATTTTTGTTCGGATATTGTAATGACTCATCATTCTTGGAACCTTCAAAAAATCGGAATACAAGTCTCATGCCATAATAGCCACTAACACTTATCTTGAATACCAACCAAGCTTGAGCAATGTTCAAACGTGGATACAGGAACAAACTTTGTCTTCGTATCAATATGATTGTCTTGGATATTGATATTGTTTGCCGTGATATCATCTTTAGCAATAACGTCTAATATAGTGATTTTTAATGTCAAGATGTATTTTTCTCTCATTGAATATAGAATCCTTGCATATAGCTTCTTTACAAGCTTCAAAAATAGCCTCTTAACCAGATGCATCTCTACAAAGCTCGATGCATAAACCTCTTAACCAGGTAGCTTCTTTACAAGCTTCAAAAATAGCCATATATGCTAATTCAGTAAGACTGTATAGTAGTTGAGTAGTTGACAAAGCCATAGTACTAGGGGTGAGCTTTTTAACCGAAAACCAAATCCGAACCGGTTGGAACCGATTAGTAGTATTCGTGTTTCCAGTTCTCCCAATCCATCATTTTGTTTGGTTTTCCGTTCTTTCGGTTCCGGTACCGAACACCTTCTTCGATAGCACACTTCAAGATCGATCTGGTTGTTGATTAATGAGAAAAAAGAAACCAAAAGTGGATGTTTATAGGGTTTAAGAAACTAATAAAATCCGTTTTTAAATTGTTATTGTTTCCCACATACATAATACACTGTAAGTCGATGTTTATAGGATTCAAGAAATCTAAAAAATCTATTATTAATTTAAACTGTTTTTGTTTTCCTCCTACATAATATACATAATACACATGTGTAAGAAATTAATAACAAATATTAAAACTAATTACACGTCGTGAAAGAAATTAGAGCAAGGGTTTAATTGATGTAGATTTTGAAAGATAGACATAGTACGAGAAAAAAAAACTTTAATGATCAAATTAGACAAAAAAAAAATGACAGTTCACTTAGAACAACGAAAATAACTATAATTTTTTAAACAACAAAATTTTATCACTACAATACACGAATATTCTTTTGAACATCTTCGATGGTAGTTTTTTTCGAAGCTTTTTGCTATTTGAAAAGGCTTTCAAACTTTTTTTTACCATTAGATATTGTTATGACAAAATTAATCAGATACAGAATTGAACAAACAGAAACATAAATAAATCAAATTAATATGCAAAGATTCATAAATCAGAAGAGCATACTTGTATTTGGATGTTTACAACAGTTTCAATAATCACGAAAATAAGTAGAGATTGAGGTCTGCTTTCCAGTGTCTTAAGACAGAAATTTCCCTGGTAGAAAACTGTCTAGAAGATACAACAATCTGATCAAGATTGAATCTTGATCCTAACGAAATTCTTCATGCTTCCTTGATTTCTCAGAAAAACGAGAGTGAAAGAAGTGGTGTTATTGTGTATATGATCAACCCTTTAATCTGTCAATTGATCATATATTTATAACATGTCATATAGCAGTTAAAAACTGCCAACCATCATACATGTTCCAAAACCGAAATTAAATGCCTAATTAACTTCCAATCAATTAATTAACAATTAACGAATTTTGTAATTAAAAAACCAGTTTCGGAATTTGTGTATATAAAAATTAATTAATTAGTCAAGAAGAGCCCAAAGGCCCAAGGCCATCTTTTGACCATTAATTATATTGAATGACAAGCTTAATCCAAGACTAATATGATAGCCCAATACCACAATTCTAGCCCAAATGCCTTTTTGTCTTGCTTTATCCATTTAAGAATATATGGAGACAAAGGCTTATAAAGCTAGTCAATGTTCTTTCTTTCTCCAATGTGGGATAATGCTTTTAGGCTATAAGCAAAGTTACAACAATTCCCCACATTTTCTATTCAAACTCCAACAATACCCCACATTTGAATATAAAATAAGAGAACTTTGATATTCAAATCAGGAAAGTAGAATATGACATGCATCTGAAGAGGTGTTTTAAAAACTTGAACCTTTCATAGTGTATACTATTTGCATCTACTTTGTGGGTAGTGAACTAGAGTCTTGAACTAACCACTTTGTATAGTAGAGTCAAAACAAAAAGTATCATACATATCATATCTAAACATGGATCATTTCTTACCGTTGTGTTCATTTCGGTCGTGGACAATCCTTTCTTTATGAGACTTTTAGAGAGCTTATGTAACACCCCGACTCTCAGGTATAAGTTTTAAAACCTGATATATGGACCTACTCGACGAGTTGGTTGCCCCAACTCGTCGTGTAGAGGCGGGTTAGCCCGCGTGGACTATTGGACCTACTCGGCGAGTCGGAGGACCCTGACTCGACGAATAGGAGCTGGAAAATGAAACCCTAATTTCCGGGGTTTTGCACCATATTTAAAGGGTCATTAGCCTCCCCCAGCCTCCCTTACCGTCCCCCTTGAGTCCAGAAAACCCTAATCTCGAATACCCTCAATTTGTGTGAGTGAAGAAGCTTGGAAAGTGGTTTTTTGTGAAGAAGGCTTGAAGTCTAAGGAGCTTGGAGCAAAGAAAAGCTTGTGGATCTGACTCTACTTCATCTTGGCATCATTTTGAAGCTAACAAGTCGTTACCTTGACTTCCCTCTAGCTAGATCTCTCCATGCTTAAGTCTAGGGCCATTTTAGCATATATGTGAACCATTTCGGGTATTGGTCATGATCTGAAGTTGTAACTTCAGATTTGGACTTCTCTAAGTCCCTATATCCATAAAGTTATCAGACTTAGCAAGCTTGAGCCCTTCTCTTTGGGTTAAACCTTTCCTTTAACTTGGTTTTGGCATCTAGGACCATGCATGCACGTAAAGTTTGCAACTTTACGTAGAAACCATGCCCTAGGAGGTTAGATCTGCATTTTGGAGCTTTGGGGTAGCTTAAAAATGTCTGAATGAGAAATAACTAAAGGGACTCGACGAGTCGCATAGCCGAATCGACGAGTCGGTTGAAGATTGGCTGTATTGGTTCTACATGAACTCAGCGAGTCAGTAAGAAGACTCGACGAGTCAGTTAGGGTTTTCCCGACATTTGGACATGCATGGACTCGACGAGTTGGTTGGAAACTCGGCGAGCTAATTAGGGTTTTTATGATTTCTTGAGTTCTTAAGGAACTCGACGAGTTGCTAGCTGCACTCGACAAGTTGGGTCAACATGGACTGTTGACTTTGAGTGTTGACCTTGACTTTGACCAAGGGTTGACCAGTTGGACTTTTGAGGGTATTTTGGTAATTTGGGATTCTGATGGACTTGGTCCTATGGTGGTTATAGGTGGTAGAGTTCTTGGCTGTGATTCAGGAGTTTGATCTTATCACTACAGTTCGACATCGTGAGGTGAGTTCTTCTCACTATATCAATAGGGTCTAAGGCACCAAGGTCGGCCCTTATGATTTGTATCCTCGTTATAGGATGGTTTCTATGTTAGTGGTCTGTTAGATCAGTATCCTGGTCATAGGATGGTTGCTATGTTAGTGATCGGTTAGATCGGTATCCTGGTTATAGGTTGGTTGCTATGTTAGTAATCTGTAGATCTGTATGATTATATGTACATGCTAGCTAGCGTATGATATTTATGTGCACATGTTTGTTGGTTTGTGGGATTGGGTTGAGGCAAGTCCTACTTTGTGCTGTAGGCCAAGATACCCAGGGCGGACCGGATAGACTGCAGACCCGGTTAGGGCATACTAGTCAGGCCGAAGGCCCGACGAGCGGTCCGGATAAGTTGAAGGCCCTGAGAGGCGGTCCAGACGTGTCGAAGGCTCGGAGAGCGGTCCAAATAAACTGATGGCCTGTGAGACGGTCCAATCAGATTGATGGCTCATTATGCATGCTGTGTTTGTTTATATGATATGATTATGATTGTATGGCGTTGGTATTTTGGGGGAACTCACTAAGCTTCGGGCTTATAGTTGTTGATTTTGTTTCAGGTACTTCTGATGATCGCGGGAAGGCGAAGGCGTGATCGTACACCTCCTTATGATTTCATGATTTGATTCTGGGATACTCTGACACTATACTATTTTGAAAACAAGTTTTGTAATAATTATGGATGTTACAGCTTAGCCATATCAGCTCCCAAAGATGCGACCTCGCATCCATCTCACATAGGTAATGCTAATCTGGAACAATCCATATTATTCCACTATAGGACCTATCAACATTATTAAGAATAAAGAATTCATCCCTATATCATCAACGGAAAACACAAAATAAATATCATAGGAGTGAGCATACCTTTGTGTTGGTGCTTCTTTGAGTCATCCCCAACTAGTTTTCCTATTGAACCTAGACCATAGGATCTCCAATGTTGCTAGGTTAGGTTTCCGCCAGGTGGTGACTCATTGTGTTGACTCATTGTGTTGACTTTAAGCCCATTCCCCTCGATGTGAAGAGAACTTGCTCTCTACTAAGGCCTTTTGTCAAGGGATCAACTATATTTTCCTTTGACTTTATGTAACTAATGGAAATGGTTCCATTCTTCAGCAAGTCTCTTATTGTAATGTGTCTGCACCTAATGTGTCTCGACTTTCCATTGTATATCTTACTTTGTGCTCTGTTGAGAGCAAGCATGCTATCACAATGTATGCCAATGGCAGTAACAGGTTGGGGCCACAGAGGAATACTTTCTAGGAAGCTTTTAAGCCATTTAGCTTCTTCAACAACTTTATCTAAAGCAACAAATTTTGCTTCCATTGTAGAACGAGTATTCACAATTTGCTTAGATGATTTCCAAGAGATAGTGGCTCCACCAAGAGTGAATACATATCCACTTGTGGATTTTGCCTCAGAAGTATTGGAAATCCAATTTGCATCACAATACCCTTCAAGAACAGGAGGATATCTTG